GGGGGGGGGGGGGGGGGGGGGGGGGGGGGGGGGGGGGGGTGGAGTTGATGCTGGGGATACGCTTGTCGGATGGGAAGTTTGTTGTAGTTATAGGCTGAATATGACGGAACAAACTATGCCGCATCTCGGGCCGGCCTAGGCTGTTTGCACGTAATACCTGGCATATGTAGCGAAGGTTGATAAATTGGGGAAAATCGCTCAGCGGGGAGATCTTGAACCTCGGCTATTTCTCGAACAGGTATCGACACATAGACGGTACGTTTGACGGTGCCGAGGATGCACACCCGGATGTCGGTTCACGAGTGGTCGGTGATGAAGTGCGCCTTCCAGGCGCCGTCGCCCAGCGTCGGTCTAGCCTCCAGAGATGCCCGCCACTCGTCGAAAAACCGCAGGATGTCCATGACTTGGGATGAAATGAAGATTTATTACTTGCCGTTGAAGATGTCGACGAAGGCGTCCATCCTCGACGCGAGTGCCGCGTAGCACTCCAGTTGCAAGTCGGGGGATTTTCCCTCGGTCAAGAGGTCGCGCTGGATCTGCTCGATGATATGTACCATCGTCCCTGATTGCACCTATATAATGACGGACGCTATAATAAAAAGGTCGGACAAGAGGTGGATCGGGACTGCGTGCAACCCTCTCGGCGTCGTCTTCGCGCGTTACGTGTACACGATCATCTAACGCAACGCAGACTAGATCAGGGTATGCAAGAACGCGACATCTGTAAACAGCGTCCATACCGATGACGAATGACTCGAGGGTAGGGGGATGCATGCACGCACTACGCAACACGCACGTTAAGGTTTACCGTCCACCCGAGCAAATTGGTCTACGAGTGCGCTCCTACAGCGGTCTGTCACCTTCGAAGACATGCCCATGTTCATGCAGTTCATGCTGTGACTGTTGAAGCAAGACGGCACGATCTTGCTGGCGATTGTGATGGATGCTACGGTCTCCTCGAGGATCAACTTATGAGATCCGGTACACAGAACCACCGTGAAAAATGCCGCTAGCGCCGGTGGCCGAAGCTGTAGAGTAGTATAATCGGGCGGGGGCACGGTATGCGGAGGGTTTCCGCTACTCTTCCCGGCAGTAGATACAGCAGTAGTTTAGATACATCGTACTACACGTATAACGATAATATTAATAGTGATGAGCAGTGTTTTTGTACAATCTGTGTAGTAAAGCATTTATTTTTTACCACAATCCATGCACTTCTGGCGAATATAATTTGGACTCTTCTTGTATGTACCTAGTATACATCGACAGGATCAGGAGTAGCAATATGTGACACATGTGTGTATCATTTATGTCGTCATCTTCCATGATCGGCAGTGCCTCCGAGCCTAACTACTACGTGGTACAGCTGACATTACGGCGTATGATTGACGGTTAGCATCCGTGGTCGGCAGGGCTCACGCGTTCACGAACCGCAAAATAACACCGCCATGGACGTACAGCCGTACATGCGTGTGACAGAGTCCATCTACACCTGTGACGATGCGCTCAACATGCGCGTACATGCATCTCACCTTCAGCGTTCAAGATCCGGGAGAACAATAACCCTCATCATACTGGCACGGAGACTCGTGGTCGCACAACAGCATCGAAGTTAAATGTAGAGGGACA